TCCTCCGAATTTCAATTGTAATTCTGCTCAGCGTCTCCCCCCCCCCAAGATTGCTACTTTGAGGAAGAAACTTTCTCGCCGATGCTTCTCAGAATACTACAATTTTAACCGTTGCATGTCGAAGATCAGTCGTTATCGATTCTTTTTTTCCCATAATCTTCATTTCCTACACCCACCTCTTCCATTCATATCACACACTTCATTCAGCTTTATCATTATGACTGTAATCTGCTATCTTGACTGGCTCTCGGGCTTTGTATTGGTTAAAATTTAGTATTAAAAAGTATTTTTAAAATATTTTTTAAAAATCAATCACTTTAAATTTTCTCAAAGTCTGATCAGTGTCGTTCGACCTCAGCGACAATACGTACTGGGCAAAACTAATTGCATACAACATGGCCAGAAAAAAGAATGAAAAAATAAAATCAAGAATTCGTTGTTGAAAATGTCGAGGTCAAAACAACAAAAAAATAAGGATAGTCGTATAAATACTTCATACAATAAGGAACAATATGACATTCTTGATCTAATATGATTTCATGAGGTGAAATGCTCTTTCTTCAATGACTCTCGAGCCGTGTATCGGGTGAAATTTAATATTAAAAGGTATTGGGATTTTTTTTTAATTAATCACTTTAAATGTTCTAAATGTTTGAGTTACCATATTATGAGTGAAAAAATCTCAAATTCTTTTAAGAGTTAAATTTAATAAAAAAATGTAAAAATGTAATATTATTTGCATATCTAGGCTGGAACTGATCAATCCCGACATTTTAACTGTAAGCCTCTAGCTTAAGTGGCACCCGAGCTTTTTATTGAGTGAATTTTGTATGAAAAATTATATATTTCAAGAGTTTTTCGAATTATTGAAATATTCTATTTTTTTACTTTTGTTGTCAACTTACTGATTTGCTGAACTCCCCCCAAAAAAACTCTCGAAGTTTGTTCTTTTTAAGCATTTTGCCCTAAGCAAGGCGGGAGTGCCACTAGTATACAAGGGGTTATAAAGAGTGAAGGCAAGAGAAAAAAGCTGGTTATAGGAGAGATTAAAGAAAGGATAAAAAGAACGTGGATCAAGGCATCAGAAGATGACGATTGCCATTACATTTAAATTTTTGAAGATTGTGGAAGCAATTAAGAGGAAGGGAGTTTCCCTGTCGGGAAGTGCGAGAGAAGAAGCTGTTGGAGTAGAAGAGGCAGTTACATTTAACTGTTTCAGCAGTAAAAGTTCCCATTCCTGGTAAATGTAGTCTATCTGGTCGAGTGTAAAAAAAGACCCACGAGTACACAAAAATAAGTAGTGTCGATTGTAGTGGTTCGTTTGTTCTCTCTGTAAATTCTAATCGGTGACTTAAGTTGAAAAACAAAAAGTGACAACGTCAATCTGTTACAATCTGACATTTATTCTGTAAGATACTTGTGAATTTAGTCGGAAATGAGACAGTGCAGGCAAAGAATATAACACGAAGGTGTCAAGAAACAAGATTACCCAGCCAGTGTCTTTGGATAGAGATGCAACACACAGACCAACGTGTTAATAGATTTCTCTTTCCCGTAACGGGTAAAATAGATAATTCTCGAAACAGGGTCCCTTATACTGGGGCTCTAGATTATAACAATAAACTAAGAAGCCAAAAGTTTCTTGTTTTCAAGTCCAAACTTCATCAATGTCTATTACTGTCACGTCTAAATATCTTCAGCTTAATTGATTTCTGTTGATTTCAAGTAAATTTTGATTCAGTAAATTTTACGTTGCTTTCAAACCCAGCTTGGTTAATTTATCAACTGGTCTAACTACTACATCTGACATAATTTTTTTTTGCCGTATCCGGATGATTTCAAGCCTTGCTCTATTTTCCAGTTCTTCCATTCGTTTTTTTCTGAGACTCTCCGACTGTTTCCAGTGTCTTGATAACAAGTGACACAATTGTTACATCAATGTTTCCACAACTTCCTCACCTCTCAGGCAAATATTCTTCTTCTTCTTCTTCTTCTTCTTCTTCTTCTTCTTCTTCTTCTTCTTCGTTACAGTGCATTTCTTTCATCATCTGATTGTAATACACGGAAAAATATCCGTAAGTGTGAACAGATTATGCTAAAAATAAGCAGACATAATGTTTGTAATTTTTTTAATCACACACACACACACACACACAAACACATATAGATATATGTATGTATGAATGTATATATATATATATATATATATATATATATATATATATGTATATATATATATATATATATATATATATATATATATATATATATATATATATATATATATATATATATATGTATGCGTGCGGAGGGCTACTAATGTATCCAATTCCTTATAGCAGTTTTCACTTTTTATCACTTCCATAACGTTTGTCCCTCAGTACCTCTTTCATTGGGGCAAAGTGATGGAAATCTCAGATGATGATGAAAAAGTGAACCCTGATGCAAGGAATTATCTTCATCAACAGTCAGCTGAGTTTTACGAACCTGGGATACATGCCCTTATTCATAGGTGAAACACTGCCACTGAAATATGTTAAATAGAAATGCGAACCTGTGATGTATAGCTATATCTTGATGCCCGATATGTTTGATCGTTTTCTTTTTTTTCTTTTATAATAAAACAAATTGTGTCACTTTTTGACTCACCATCGTTGACTTCATACAGGACTTTTTCTAATCCTATAATTAATACAAGAATTTTAGAAACCTTTAATAAATACAGGATCAGATTTTACGGTGAGCAATTATGGGTAAGCTTAGTTATTATCCAGCTGCATTCTCAAATTGATTGATAATGTAGTGAATTATTGTGAACTTGTACCAGACAAGTTTATGTTTAATAATTATCCTTCATGAGGTATTCTTGTGTTCATCCTAGTATATACTTGACAACATTAATTTGGGATAAAACTGATTTGTATAAGAATGGTCAACGAGTAAATTGTGTCTTCTCCACAAAAGGAGGCTTGCCGCCACATCACGCTGAAACATTGGTTCCTGTACAATCACTGAAGTTAAGCTACGTCGAGACTGGTCCTTACTATGCCGGGTGACCAGGTGCTGTAAGCTTGCGTGTGGTGATAATGAAGTCATATCTAAATATTGGCTTGTAAAAATATCAGAAGTTGAAGGGATCTAAAGAGAAGATTACTGAGGTATCAGATGGTGGTAATACAAGTTGTCATATATATATATATGGAGACAGAGAGATAGGTATTAAACAGAGATAGATAATTAGATAATGAACATGCATATATAGATGGAATCTGATTTCGGATAGTGTTAAAGATTAATGACTCTCTCTCTCTCCTCTCTATCTATCCATATATATATATATATATATATATATATATATATATATATATATATATATATATATATATATATCTCTATCTACTTCTCTCTATCTGTCTGTCTGTAATATCCATCTATATATGCATGTTCATTATCTAATTATCTATCTCTATTTAATACCTATCTCTCTGTCTCCATATATATATATATATATATATATATATATATATATTCTATATATATTCAGACTAAACTCAGCTTAGATAGATAGATAGATAGATAGATAGATAGATAGATAGATAGATAGATATTATTATTATTACATTTTCCTGTAAGTCTCACTCTGATATGATTTTCTGTGTCTCTTTCAATCTATCAAAGACCTCTCTTATGGCTGTTAATCAGACTTCCATTTTTCACTTCGGATTCAGTATATCTTGCGCAAACTATCCTTACCTTTTTGCTGATAGATAGATAGATAGACTCGGAATTGTTAGTCGGAGAGTCCAGTTTCATTCCATTCGGGTTCGTTATATTTAATTACGCGCAAAACCTTTAGGAAAGGTATGGATCCCCCCTCTCCTCTACCCAGCTATGGGTTAATTAGTAAAACTTGAATAACTAAAATGTTATTATTATCTTTATTATTATTATTATTATTATTTCCTTTGATTTCTGGTGTATACTCATTTCTTTCCGGGTCCCTAAGGTCAGAAATGACATCATGACATTTTCTATTGAGCAATTTTGAAAAAAAATAATCACACATATTTTACATAGATAAAGCCATTCATTAGGTGTGGGCTGTACTCGTGGGAACAATTTTTTGTATTTCTTTAAGGCATGGGCTACGAGGAATCCTTTCAATGAGTCTACTGGCATCTTTCCCAATCTATCCGGTGGCTCCAACTACAACTGGACTTGTTGATATCCTCATATGCCACATTTTTGAGATTTCGATTTCAAGGTATTATTATTATTATTATTATTATTATTATTAGTTTCCCTGATTCGTGGTTCAATAAAATCCTTTACCAAGCCTTTTAGGTGATATCTTGGGTAGGGAAGAATTTTGAAAGTTTTTTTCCACTATGTAACACCGATAAAAGGTTAGTATGTGAGCGGTTCTCATGAGCCCAATATTTTGTTTCATAATGTATGTATAAATTTCTAGCTCCTATTATTATTAGAATAATGCCACATTCTTGCAATTTCTATTTCCAGGTCCTTATACTTTGAAAGTCGATTGAATTCTAATGCTGAAGTGCTTTTATCAGATCGGGTGGCCATATCTATGCGATAGCACTTACGATTTTTGAAGTTTTTTTATATCTGGACTATTGGCTGCTATAGTTCAATCGCTATAGTGATTTTCCAAGCGTAGCTCAGATGTGGTACAAGGCCGAAAGTATGGGGTACCCAGTAAGGATCGAACTCACTACTCAGTCGCAATAGTTCAGTCGCTATATATGGGGTAGTTTCAGAATACTGTAACATTTTCACCATATAACAAAAATATGTTCTTACCATTTTTCTGCATGGAGAAGATTATTATGTTGACATATCTTCAAATGCAAACATTTTTCTTGCCTGATATCTATATTTAAGTTTATTTGGAGTTAGGTTGGAGCAGCCTTGTTGGTCAGGATAGTAGATTATTATTTGATTTGATATTCTTGCCGTCTATTCGATGTTTTGGCTTACGGCCACTCACGTCAAAACTCTGGTTCCCGTACGATCAGCGAAGTTAAGCATAGTCGAGCTTGGTTAATACCTACATTGGTGACCGTTTGCGAATATCAGGTGCTGTAAGCTTCGATGTGTAGGTGGTATAAGGTATAATGGCTCAGAAATTTTAATCGGCGAACCGAGTTCCAATTCCCTCCTCTTCCCTCTATGGATTAACTAGTAAGACTTGTATCAATAAAAAATATTAATCACACATATTTTACATATGTTTGATTTTTTATCTTAAAAAAAACATCTTACATTTTAAAAATATTCCCTGGCTTTAAATAACCTGCAAAGTGTTTATAAGTCGTAGAAAACAAATCAATATTCGATGCTTCGGTCTGCTGATTAAGGTCTTAGCTCCTACCTGCATCTTAATGACATAACATATTCCGCAGCACATGTGCTGCTCTAAGCATCGCTGCCACCAGCGGACTCTCAATTATGTTACGTATCTCCAAGGCCTCATTCGAGGAGTAAAGATACCCAGATACCCTAAACGCAAAAGGGACAATTTGAGTTGTATCTTGGTACATTTTTCCAATTTGATTTGCCAGGTTTTGGTACCTCTGTATTTTCACCTGCTCTGCCTTCATAATGTTCTGATCCCAAGTGTTATGGGGTCCTCCCCTTTTTCATATAAGTGAACTCGACCAGAGTGTTACTTGGACTACTGCCGTTAAATACCCAAAGTCAGTCAGAATATAGTGAGAAGTGAGAGCAGTGATTCTGATTGAGTTGGAGGTAGAGTAATAATGTGAGGTAACCGCTTGTAGAAGTTACAAGCTCGTAGACTCTAAGGTAGTCCTACTTCGAGACTGTATATATATATATATATTATTTTTGCGACTAACTGCGTTCCTGGATTTACTAACAGTATTACCCTTTGTATTATTGTGTAAATACATTTGTTATATTTAATTCCTGCGTTTGTCATTTATTGGAGACCAAATTTCATCTCGGAATCCACAACACCAAGGTATTTCAACGTCAATCAGGATCAATTCGTCGCTGCTGTTCTGCGTAAGTGTGATATCAGGGCGATTATTATTATTATTATTATTATTTCCTTGGATTACTGTTGTATACATATATCCATCTAGATTCCCACCGGAGACCCAAGGTCAGAAATGACTTTGACATTTCCCATTGATCATTTTCGTAAAAACAAATCCTAAGTTCACACATATTTTACAAGGCTAAAGCTCTTTGTAATGCGTGAGTTGTAATTGTGAGTACAATTTTTTTTGTATTTCTTTAAGGCATAGGTTACCAGAAATCACTGCAATGAGTCTAACGGAACCTTTTCCAATCAATACGACACCAACTATAACTGGTATTAGTGATGTCCTCATATACCACATTTTTCAAATTTTCACTTCACGATCCTTGTATTTTGATAGTTGTGGAAGATCTTCAAAGATACATTACAATCTGCAAGGACTGCCATGTCAATAAGAAAGAACATTCTGTTTTTGATTAAGATGTATGTATGTATTAGATTTGATTGTTCTGTCTGTGTGTATTGTAAAGACCTATAAAAAAAATGATACATGTCTTATCTCTGTAACCGGATCTGGTTGATGTTCATACCAGTTTCTTTCCCGTAAACATTGCATATTTTCCAATGCAGATATTGGTCCATTCTTTCATGACGAGATTTATATTCAGTGGGTGCTAACACTGAGCAACCTGATACAAGATGGTCAATTGTTTCTGGATATTTATCACAGAATCTGCATTTCGGGTTAACAATTTTTCAGTATGTTTATTATTATTACCTATATTATTATTATTCCCTTTACCCTTTTGCCACCAGTGTCTGAGTTGTTTATGCCTTTATATTTTCATTGCAGAACCGGCTGGCATCGACAGAATGTCCGAAACAAATAAATATGGATGGAAGTAAGCAAAGAATGACATAAAAAAAAAAACTTTACCCAGCTGTTTTTATTTATTTTATTTCTTTTCCTTCATTCGCTCCCTTCGGTTATTAGAATTCCCCTTCAAGGTCCTCTCGCTTTCTCGCAACGATCTCCTCGACACTCGCATAGCCGTTCCTCGTTGACCACCTTCATTCACTCCTCGTCACCCAATCAAAATCCTTTCTCACCCAAAGCCTCAACAGCTGACGCCCATCTCTCCGCTTCCTAATCCTAATTTCCAGCCTTAGCGGTCAAGTGAAATGACTGACAGGCACTTGGGGATAAGTTCGGGGCGGAATAAGTGCAGCCAGCTTGTCGCAGGCGTTTGCCTTGGTCAGTGACCCCAGGACCGATCCAACACTGACCGCTGCTCGTGTCTGGCACGTGGCGATCATTTAGATGACGCATCCCAGCCTCCGACCTAAGACACATAAGAATGAATGAATGAACGAAAATTAAGACCCTTTTTTTGTATCTTTTTTCCTGGCTTTCATTCTGCATTGTAATCATTTGTTAATTGTGTAAGGGATCATGCTTCCATTGTCTAATTTTCTTACTATTTTTTTTTTTTTAGTTTTGATTTTATGAGCAAGCATATATATGCTAACACATGTACACAGCCATTCTGAGTGCGTTATGATAAAAAAACGCGCGCATATAAGCACACAACCACAGAAATATACGCAACTGCCAACGTAATTCAAGAAAGAATGAGATAGAAATAGTTAGAAAAAATGACAAGAGGATTAATAAAGACGGAATTTTTAATTGAGTAAACAAAACAGAATGAAAGAGAAAACTGGTCATAATCGAAATAGAGAGAGAATGATGAACAGATGTCGAGAAAAAAAAAAAAAAAAAAAACGGAGTATTAATAGCGATAAGAAAAAGGAGTGAGAAAGAAAAGCATTAAAATGTCTGAAATAAGATGCCACGAAAAAAAAGGTAAGGAAGAAAGAGTAAAGTAGTAGATATCATTTTTGGGACAAAAATAGTAAAAAAAAAATATTCGCGAAGGAAGAGAAAAGTCATATTATGTTGTACATGCGCATAGATGTGTTGGCACTTCCAGTTTGTTTAATAAGAGTAAAAAGGGTTTTTGCATTCATTGTTTCAAAAATTACGATTTTTTTTCGTTGCAGGGCTTTTAATTCACTCGCCACTTTGCTTCTTCTTAACTATTTATTTCTTTCAGTACTATGTTATTGTTCACAAATACACACACACACATTTGTACACACACATACATACACACACACATATATATATATATATATATATATATATATATATATATATATCCCCTCGTCAATTTCGATGTATGATGATCCGGCTAACAGAAAAAAATTTTTTAACCTGTTCTCTTTCTAGGGTTTTTCAGTGATTCTTACGACAAATCGTGTCAAGATGACTAAAAGACTTATCGGAAAACCTGGAACAAAGAAACTCAATTAGATTAGAGTTTTTTTTTTTTTTTTAGATATTAAACATTGGGGGGGATGGACAATTATCCCATGCTGTTACAGGATTTGGATAATTTTGCTGTTACAATCGGTATATAGAGACCAGTTCTTTAAGTTTAGAAATCATAATTTTTCTCAACTCCTCCTGTTACTTTATCCTCCCATTTCACTTTCTTTCTAATATATTATCAACCTGGACGCCTTGTCTGTTTTCCGCGTTTACTTTTACCTTTCCACGATTAAATAAGCTCTGCATATTTTAATTATCTGCCTTCTTACACTCGTGCTATCTTTTACCTCTTTTGTCTCCTTTTTCTTCTTCCCAATGATGACTCTTTTTGACTCTCGATTGCACTCAGTTCCGACTCTCAATCTACCCATTTTGTTCCACACATTTTCAGACATATTTTATAAAAAGCTATAATAAAAAGAATTGTAAAATTATACAGAAATAATTTAAAAGGTGAATATAAAAATAATGATACAATAGACTAGGTTAACTTATCGAACTTTTTTTTGAGCGGAGTGTTTAAAAAAATAATTATAAAAAGGAAGCCGAAATGACTTTATGGCTTTCTTTTTTATAATTATTCTGTCATTAATAAAAAATGGCTTGATTAAATTCGTTGTGTAAAACTTTCTATATGTGAGCCTCAGATTTGATGTTGTAAATACTGGCAAAATGAAACCTGGCGGTTTATGAAAAAGCTACACGTAAAATTATGTTTTCAAATTTGTAAAAAAAAAGAGAGGCTCAAGTCTAACGGTTTCAAAACTCGTTTAAACAAAGTTTGTAAAGAGCTGTGGTGTAAGATATACATTCTGTGATTGTTTTAATCAATAGGGAAAGTAAATAACGACTCCAAAGTATCAAATTCGTGTTTTAACTTGGAGCCGACTCATTACTATTTAAGAAGTCAGTCTAGGAAAACCTAGAGAAGGGTTTTACATTTCACATGCGAAGGTGGTCGGCCGGGAGGTAGGAAGCAGAAGGGATTTTGATGTTCACATACGAAAGTCGCTGGGAGCCGCTAGTAGAGCAAAAGACTGAAGGGTTTCGGCATTTCCATGGATGACACCGACGACATCTACGCCATCGAAAAGGAAGAATAAAGAGAAACTAAAAGCCGATCACGCTGACGCTGACAACGAACAAGAAGCTGAGAGAAAGCAGAAAGAAAATCGAAAGATTCACGAAATTTGAGGTATAAACCTTGATTGTAACTTATAAAAAAGCGAGATTTGTCTCTAGATTGTAATTCGGAGCTATTTTTTAAATTACCCAACGACATTTATGAATTTGCCATTCATCTCAAAGATTTCCAACTGCTGAATGTATGAAACTAAGAAAAGCATTCTTTTAAGAAACTGTTTACCTTCTATGTGCCGAATACATTGTAATTTTTGAACTTGTTATCTTGTCTAATTGTATGGCGTAAAAGGAAAAAAAATGTGTGAAGTTATATTGTGAATTTCTATTTTGTTTGATTTTTGGGGGGCCATTTGTGCGAAGTAGGAGTTTTTTGTTTTCGTTTGCAATTTTCTCAATACTTAGTATAAGAGACGCGACGTTTTCACCTATCACCCTAATAAAAATCCTTTAAATTTTTCATATCTCCTATTTTACAAATGCCATAGTATAAATATTTAGGAGAATCTCATTGAGCCGTTACAAGGTAGTAAGACAAGACATA